TCGTGGGGTTTCTGGCTGTGTCTTGACGTGTCGAAACCACTTGAAACTCCTCAAATCTCCCTACAAATATCATTGACTTACGTTGTACCACTAGTAATTTACCATAAGTGGCTGTTAGTTAAGTCCGGTAAATCGTCCGTGGGAAACTTTTTATTAATGCTCTTGTTCGTGACAGGCGTTCGTGCTACCAGCGCCGCATCAGTTTCACCAACACCCTGACAAAAGCCAGTTCCTGTCATCCATTCCCTAGTGTACAGTAATGCATAACCAAGCGCTTCACCACTACTAGACTTTATCGTCGGTATAAGTGCATTTTAATCTCGCACACACAGCGGCCTTTTGTGACTGTTGTGGGAATCAAGTGTTCGAGTGTCATTACCTTTCAGTATTGAACGATGGTGACCTTAATAAAAGCAGATATATCTGGTATCAGAATTTGTCCTGTGAAAACGTTACTAAGAGGAGGTCATTTCCAAACGTTCGTTGTGTGAATAAATCGCGATACGCACGCTTATTTCGGGACGCGATTCACTTCGAAGTGAAATTTAATGGATGCATCGTGCGAATGACTGTTAAAGTGTTACTTCATAATGCTTTCCTAATTGTGTGGGGCATAAAACTGTCACACGGTCTTAATCTGCTTCACGGACAGCCAAAAACACAAGCATTGACGTTTGTAATTTTGCATATTACTACCCCTCCATACAGCACGGCAAATCAAGACGCACAGACTTTTGACCGTCTCTGACATCTTTACAGTGACGGAGAAACGAATGCACGAATCTAACTAGGTCTTCGGAATTGTGCACTTATGTGACTTTTATGATTTCAGAGCACGCCTTTTACGGCGCATCTGTTAATACGAAATGACTGGCTAATCGTTGGACATTTCCCTAGGTTTTACCATTTCTCCGAGCCGGATTACGTTCGTTGGAAGTTCGACCTATGCCCCTATGACGGTGACCGGGTGACTGAGGATTTGGACAAGTACTGCCGTGTTTGTGAACTCAGAGGCAAGGATCTAATCTTTAACTCTATCCTGATTGGGAATGGGAAACCTGACTAGATATTTCAATCGTGAAAGGGCTTTGTTTCACAGTGAAAACTTCTGTAGCTCTCTACCTGGTTGATGGCACCTTTTGAAGAATTTCCCAAAGCTCTAAAAGTCTATATCACATTTAGATAAATGGGGATTTGTGCATAGTACTGCATTCCAACTCTGTTCGAATGACAGGGTTAATCGTGGTGCTAATACATCGCGTTGAGGTGCTTCTTTACTGTAGCTGCTGCATACGTGACTTACAATGCGATGAATGATGTGTTTCGGCAATTAAATTTTCTTAAGGAAACTATTTTGTTTATTAGGTGTGTGAAAAATCAACTACAGATGCCAACTCTTGTTGAGTTTCCTGTCTGCTTGAAATTATATCAACAAGTAGTTTGTCTTTATTACATCACCTGTTATGTGGCCAACCCTGCTCTTTCTGTTTGAGGACAAAGCGACTTCCGTATTGTGTGCCTACTGTTGAATTGCTTAATTCAGCTTTATTGTCCAATCCGTGGTCATTTCATTCTCGAAACTGTCTAGAAGCGACACATATGAAATCAGTCCCGTTCGTCCACTGACCAGAGTATGGCATACTAGTGTTCCGTTGTAGAACCTTGAGTAAAACACAGGTAGCAGTGCATATTTGACCGATTGTCGACTGAAACATTCACTGTATACATTTCAAATTTGAGTACCATGTCATCCGCTGGAACATATTTCTTGAGGTAGTGAACCATGCACATGGATGATCAATGTGCGCTTGCCTCCAGTATTTTGACACTGAAAACTTAGACCGGTTAGCTATTCCACTTGATTGTGTTCATTTCTCGTTAAACAAGAGCGGATTGCACCCCAACAGTGCATTTATTTGACAAATATTGGTTCGCCTTGAATTAAGTAGAATGAGGTTCACGGTACTGGTCCCCCTGCAGGTGAAAATCCAATACGGGATTCCGTAAACTCCCGCTCTTGGTAGCCTGACTTTCTGTGAAACACAGTGGCTTTTAGTCCTCAACTCTTTGTCAGTATTTTACGACGTGTTTTCGTTTATGGGAGCTTTGATGGACCTAATGGAAGTCGTCTGCGACATCCGCTTTTGGATTCTCTTAAAGGATGCCGCTGTACAAGCACAGAGGAGTGAAGGCTCGGGTATATGCGGATGGAAACCACGATTGATTTGTGGGCTGCACCCATGTCACTGACCCGCGTATCGCTCATAGATGAGTAGATATGAGAGCACTGCATGGTCAAAAGATTGTTCGGGAGCTGTACATTGCAACAACAGAACAGCAATGTATTACGAGCAAAACAGAACATGCATCTCAATTTCATGTGGACGGTATGAAGTGTACTTGATAAACGCGCCATAGTTTTCACACTGAGGCATACGTAATTGGGATATCCTGTGATTGTAATACTTTAACATGGTTTAACATCCTGATCATGGCGGAAATGGTATATCTCGTGAAACCGAGAATAAATATTATTATTATCTCCAAATGTACATATATTTCGCAATGTAGGTAGCTTAGGGCAGCATCAAAACGTGTCTTGGAGACCGATATTATAGCGACTGAAAGAGCGTTCAACGGCCAGCACATACGAGGAAAGAAGTTCTGATGCTATTGCAGTGGGATATATTGCGTGACTACTTTAAGCTAGTGGTTTGTCAGTTTCGTGTTATGACCAAGTTGCAGATGGCAACGGTACATGTACTTGGGACTCTACAGGAACAGGTAACTTATTAAAAGACCATTTCGTAGACGCCGATTCTGTCCGCTGTACAGTCTCAATGCCTTCACTCGTAATCGATGTGGAAAGTGCAATAATCCATAAACATGCTTTATTGCTCCTCGCTGTGTGATGTAAAGTGCAGAGAGCTGTTATTTCTGACATTACTCTCAGGACCGCATATCTTATTTCACCTGGGGACGCACGTAGTTAGTAAGCATTTTCGGGCAAACGAATGGATCAACCTTCCAGAGCACCCTCCACCGAAGACCAACTTGCTTGTTCCTGGCCTTTGACACCTTCTCAGATTGTTTTGAGGTTATCCTCAGCTGGTAATTTAAGGTTGCACTGTTGGGAGACCATACGCAAAACTGGTCTCCAAGCCTGTATATGCTGTTCAGCTGGCGACGAATGTGTACCACATTAAATTTCAACAAACTAAACTGGAACAAGTGCCTTACAAACCAATCATAAGCGCTATTCAGATCTGTTTGGAGTACTTCATGATCTTTTTAGTCATCAGTCACCCACCACTTACTGTGTGCACAGTCAGTGCGCACTGAACAGTGACTAAAATAATACTCGGTCCAGGTGCATAAGAACGAAGCGGCAATGTTTATTGCACGCTACCACGCTTTTCCCAAGCTGCGCGCAAGCGCGCATTTATTGACATGTTTGCGTCCCACAACACAACATACATGGGGAATCACAAACTCTCACGTTCCTGCATCGTTGGACTGCATCTTCGGGGGCCATGGACACCTATCTGACCCAATAGCTCTTCTTCCGTACCTCGCATTCTGACCAGCCTGGAGTTGTTCTAAAGCTCTTGCTTTGCTTCATCTCGGTTGCGTTATTCGGCTTGAGGTTACCCCTGGATGCACCAACAAAGGTGTTTCTGTCTGATTTGTTGGCCTATCGACACATCTCTTTTCCGTACTCTTTGGCTCGGGCCCGTTCCTGTTCGTCGCTTGCAGTCCGCTCTCCGCCCGTATTGTTCGGTTGGCGTTGCGTCGTCGAATCTCGTCCAGGATGTCTGCGTCAGTTTCAGCCTTCGCTCGTTCTCGTGGCTTTTCAGTCTCCTGCGTGATCGCTACCTTCCACGCCACTACACTAGGACGGTGGCCAGAACATTGTTCAATCTATGATGGAATTTTATTTGAGCCCTGCCCGATACGCTTAACAGCAGCCACTGGATAAGAATGTCCGGTTGTTCTCCGAGATGGGTATTCTGGTGGCAAACGCCTCGTCAAGAGGCTCGATAACACCTCAGTGCAACTTCAGGGAAATGACTTATCATTGCTTCTAATCAGGTTTTATTTCCGACTAGAGGTCAAGATTTGTTTTCCAATTTTCTTATTTACCCTATCTTTGTCCCCTTAAGCCAAGGTAAGTTGCTGCTTCGACCTGTAGCGCTTTATGGTCAGCCTGTTGCTCAAGTGTTTATTTCTGGACTTCTGTCCCGAATGCCATGCTTCGATGCACGGACGCGTTTTTCTTTCCCTTTCTTTTCATATTCTCCTGACATTCTCCAGATCAAATTGATGGTTTTCAGCGTCCATATGTGCCAATATTAGTGCATTCTGGTCATACCCAGGGTGGCAAGGCTATGTTCGTGTAGTGCCGAACCAAGTGATACCAGACAAAAAGGAAGTTCAACACGAGGGGTCACGTGGGCTGCACTTGTCTTTAACCGGGCACCGTTACAGTTGTGTCACACGTCTAGTAGTCCTGCCCAACGGCTTCGATACCGATGAATTGTGACCAGGGCTTGTAAGTCGGGGTATGTAAGTCGACTCAGGGTAAGGTAGAAACAGCCTACGTGATCTGTGCAAACAGCTTCATGTGCTAAGCTTCAGTTATATGGGAACCATGAATGGAATAAATTCGAACGGTGAATCTGCTGGAAGTGAGTATAGCCTGCGATTTATGTCTAAAACAGCCCAGACACTTGTACTGTGACCTGAAGAAAATTGTCACCATGTCCCAACTTTAACCACTCTTGGCAACAAAGATGAGGTGCGTCTAACACCATCCGCTGCGAATTGTCTCACCTCCCAATATTAATACGAAGCGAGGCGTTCAATATGGCGCTTCATTCCGTTTTCATATGTCATGAAATAAATTGAATTAACGTAACTCCCCCTTATGGGACATTCACTATACGGCGTTTGTCCTCACCACCTAAAGCTTTGTGTTTTGTGTTTGCCCTTTCAATTAGCAAAAAGCCCAAATCTCGGAAGACTGCGCTAAACGAACCCGTCGTCTCACTTGGTTGGGATTGGGCGCGATGGGTCTGCAGTTCGGTTTGCTGGCTCGACTCACTTGGTGGGAGTATTCTTGGGATATTATGGAACCGGTAACTTACTTCGTCGGCTATGGGACAAGTATGGCGATCTATGCGTACTACGTGGTCACACGTCAGGTGAGTCGGTCCAGATCTCGAGCCCTTTTGCTCTGATCACTTACGGTGTAGGACGGATTTCTACTCTCCCATTCTAACTCCACTACATACTTCTCTATGAGGTTAGTCAGTCAGCCTTATCGCAGTTTTATAAATCCAGAAACACTTCAATCATCTGTCTGTGATTGTGTTATTACTACATTTTCGTCAACTCATACGTACGCAATCCCCAGGGACATGTACACTGTGTCGGTCTAAGTGTTTGAGCGTGACCGAAAACTACATTGTAATCCACTGTGTACCGCTCCTCTGCATCTTACTTTTCCTGGCGGGAGCAGATGGACTACTATGTGTTAGTAAAAGTTTTCTTCGCTTGGGGTTCCCATCTGAACTAGTCGAATATTTTCATATTTCTTGGTTCAATACGTTCACTAATCTCACATTCTCTCATAACAAAGCGCATGAATAGCCCCTCTCCACACTCATTTTGGCCTCTAACCGAAAGATAAAACCTAACTCAACCTTTTTTTAAGCCGGCTTTTTGATAATTATCTATTTCACGAGTCTTCCAAGTGTTGTGTCGGAGCCCCGCGACTGCTTCCACCCACTAACGTTAGTGAGAACACGAACGATCAGGGACAGAGATTCAAGGGTTCTTTACATAGGGAAACCAGCTACTTATATAGCATAATGCACAAACATGAAAGCCAACCAGGGTGCGGAAAGCAAGCGGACAATTAAAGCCAATAAGAACGGAACAAATGGGGAACCAATCAAGTGCACACAAAGGACTTACGGTGAGAGCGATAGCGTCAAAGTATGCCTGCGATCTGAAGGCAGAAACAACGACTACAAATAGCCAATAGGGATGACGAAATGATGCGTTAAAACAAACATCAGTGAACCTCCATGGTAGAACGAAAGTCTGCAGTCATGAACGGCTACAGATACATACCTGTATTTTACTTTAACCTCCAACACCAAGATGTCATTTCACTCAACTTTATCTATGTGAGGGAAGTGGTTGTTGATGGTTACGAAAGAAATGAGACAGGTTAGAAGCACCACAACTGGAATGTCTTCATTGTCTCGAGTCCTGGTGGCTAGCGCGTGCATACTGGGGCGCTGTCACTTTGAACTACTTGCTTTTTGTGACATTGGATCTCGACACACTATCCCGACTGACGATGTACGGTCCACAGCTCGTGTATTCTTCCGTTGGATGAATATACACTGTCCGGAAGCATGTGATGCCAAGCTCATCCCGAATGGAGCTGCATGATGCTGGATGGTGGCAGTTTGAATTGTCTGGTCACATGCGACCTAATGTACAAACCACAAAATGATCTATTTATTCGAAATTATACATCGGTCGCAATAAATTGTGTTCAGAGAACATGCACATTGGTTTGCACTGGAGCACAGCTTACCGTGGTGTTCGACTTAACAAAGAAATTAGTATCCTTCAATGAGGTCTTAGAGTAAAAAAATATCACCTGCAATTTGTTCTATCGCATTGATATTATCGGCTAATAACCGTGACTTGGGTGCACTTGAGTACTCCAATTTTCTATTTGCGGCGCGTGATTGTGAACATTTCCTAAGGGTCAACACAATGGTTTGTTCCGAGTTGATCACTCTGGAGAAATAACGCTAGTGTTTCCTTTTTGCCACCACTCGTTGTGTTTTTTGGATCATCACAGTTCTTATCTACCTCATTCCGAGTTGCTAATCAAGACGAAGGCACGTTTTACCAATGCAAGTGGCACAGTAGCTACAACTGAAGTGAACGATAGCGGACCGCGTTTGATTCGTGATAATGGGTTATTGTATGCATCCCAGGCGTCGCGCAACGTATCGTTACAATTTCACACAGGAGAGGTAATTCCAAATACAAGAACATTTCGTGTGCACAGTTGGCGCTTGGTCTACCGTCTCCCAGCGGGTAACAGTAAGACCGAAAAGACGATTGCGGTAGCCAGTCGGCAATGATGGCAGTCTAGACTTCGCGCAATTTTATTATCTGTCCTGGCCTTGAACAGATGTTTAAGCAAACGTCGCTTGACCTATTGAACTCCTTAGTCTTAATGACCAGTTTACAAACAACATCATTTTTTGTCTTTGATTGCTCTGTGTGTATAAAACATAATCATGTTTTATCCACACAGAACCGTTTACCTAGTGACTTCGCGATCACGACTTGCGGTGGGGAGTAGAAATCCAACAGACGGGTGGTAAGTTTCAAACTGTTTCTCTAATGCTCACGGCATTTTGTACGGAACCGGTCCAAATGTCAGAGATGAAGGGATTTTACCTCAACTCAAAGCACAAGCTCATCAGCTAGTTCGTGTCACATCGCAGAAACACACTGGACAAACGCATCAATAAACTTCGGACAGAACATAACCCGTCAGGATTATCAGCTTTTTTTCTCTAAACTACCTTGCAGCTGCTCCTGGCGAACACGTCCGAGTAAATTTGCATGCGGGAGAGAAAAAGAAAAGGAATAGCTGCCCGCTTTACAAATTTCTTCTGCCTAACCATTACAACTTATCGCTGGAACTTTATTCAGATTCATCCTTTACCTTTTTCAAACTTAACGCCTGTGTCGCTTTGCTGAAGGCCACTGGACAACTTACGTAGCAGTCGAATCTGGGAGCCTTATTTTTGTTTCGCATTTGACACGTGTTTGTCTCCACGACTCCAACACCGTCTGTACAGTCGTTGAGCTATCATTGCTGTGAATGGCTGCCGACCCTCCGCGTCAGCCAAGTGAGTGGTGGTACCTCATGCAAGTCAGCCGGCACATCCAATTCCCAGAATTGATCCAAGGTCAGCATGCTTGACCTGGTTGGTTAAGAGATACTACCCAGCCGAGCCACGGTACCCAGTTTGCTATCAGCTGCATACCATGTGTAACAATTTCAAGCATGGCCTTGTAGCGATCCGTAAGGTGAGGAGGTTGTTGCTCATCGAATAGAAGACCGTTGTTGTTTTCTCTTATCTTTACATGTTTCTCCCATATACATCACCCGTACTTGTTCTCACCATCCATACAGTTCATACTCGATCCCTTAGGTATCTGTAACAACGGCATCCAGATCGCCACGAGGTGTTAGTCAGTCACACATTGCATCCAGTGTGGTCATTGACCAGGTAGTTGTGTTAACTTCATCTAACCGCGTACGATGCATTTGTTTTCATTGCAACCTCCAAGTCTATTGCAACAGAAATAAGCAATGGACACGGGGGCCTTTAGAATCTTTAGCTGAACTGGTTTCTAGATGTGTGAGACCGAAATAGACGGGTTAAACTAATCAGGCTTTTTTTACCTTACTGTAACATTAACCTCCTCTGCATTTTTCCTACAAGGTCTCGAACACACGATACCTAGAACACCAGATAGTTTTTTCCCACTTTCCAACCGGATAAGCCGTAAGCTATTTTTGTTAATGTTTAGCCTACTGCATCTCATACCATATTGATTATTTCATTTTTTCCGTTCCAGAATTATGAATTCCCGCAAGTATTCGACCGCGAATATTTGAAGCGATTCTATAAGTTGGCCGATAGACATTCATTTGATGTACATCGGTACAACGAACTCCGTGAACAGTTGGCCGACTTGAAATCAGAACTTCGAAGATTGCGCGATCCTTTGCTGTGCAATTTACCGCTGCAACAAGTCGGTTACCTAATTCCGGAGCATGTGGAAGACAGTGTCGCTCGTGGACCGGTGTCGTTCGTTTCTGGCACAGACAATGCGTCCGAGCGTTGACGACGTTTTGGCCCTACTTTTGCCAGCCAACAGTTTCTAACCATGGTAACCGCATTTTTTCACCAAGGGGACAGCTGTAAAGACAATGGGGTCTTCGATGCTCCTGTGCTCTCGCCCCCTCCAGTGGCTAGGCTGTATTTCGAAACAGGTACGCCAACCCCTATGCCTCGAATCCACGAATCCATTTAGGCCGACGTTAGAACGATCTCAGTGACTCGGAGAGTGCAAATACGCCATCTAGCCTTCATTCACTAAAACTTTCAACTTATCTATTATTTCTTGTTCCAACGAACTCAATTGTACATTACTTTGTTGTACGCTCCCGTATTCCTTCTACGTTTTCACTTTTATTTTTACTCGTCCTACTTTGCTGTCCACCTATGGAACCAACGGGTTCAATTCTTATTTTTCAAACTGACTTTTAAACCCCTCTTTCAGAAGGCATCATGACATTTACTGACTTATTGGCATCAAATTTACGATGAAAAATACATTTTTTTACATTTCTGTGCGTGCAGTATCAGTGAAACTGTGGCATTTGGGGATAATCTCTCTTGCATGTTGGTGCAATTAAATCTATTTCCCGGGGGGTTTACTGTGCTGTACAAATGAGGTTAGTTAGAGGCTGCTATTGTCACGTTTATGCGTACGCTAATTTTAGTGTTAATTCTGTTATACTCCTGCTCCGCTACAACTACGGAAGGCCCTTAATACTGTGAGATAAATCAATCGAAGTTCCACTCAAACAGTTTCTTTAAAATCTCGGTTCTTAAGCCATGTTGATGCATCTCAGGGCACAGATTCCTATTATTCGTCTATCTATTCGTCTATCATACAGCACATCAGCCATAGGCCCTAACTACGACATACCCCCCCTGTTACAGAACTGGCCTATTCATTCTATGCATTATATACGCTAGCTGCAGGTGGAAACACCTCAGCTATAGTGTCACAATACAAACGAAAAAAGGGAAACAGTGGCATGCCGGCTGAGTCACCAATAACGGCTGGACATCGTTCCAGAGAGCTAACAGCCGGGTATTGTGCCGCAAAAAGTCATAACTGATGTTGTGGTTGGAGGGGGAGGCTAAGCGGAGAGGGATGGACAAAAGAACTTACAACACAAACGCCATTAACGTCTGCTCCTAGCCATGTCAACAAGTGTGTCCAAGCAAACAAGTTCCTTGTTTTTCGCTCCACAACCAGGGAGCTGAGAGGCTCCAACCAAGACCAACGTCGAAGCGAGGGCATTCATCCCTCTTGACCAAATCATCGCTTGGCCACCTCTCCTCTTCTTTCATCCGCACCCCGACGCACAGACAACACACGTCACGGGAATAGGTGGGCTGGCATGCGCAACACATGGCCGAACCATCGGAGCTTGGTGCGTGAAATAACGGTGCTGAACGGTTCGCTTCTTCTACCTGCGTCATAAACAAGGCGTCGAACACGCTCGTTGCTCACGCGGTGTTCCCACCAAATATGAGCCAAACTGTGAAGGCACCGGTGGTCGAACATAACTAGCCTCTTTATGTCAGCCAATCTAAGGGGCCAAGTTTCACAACCGCACTGTAGGGTCGAACGTGCCGCTGCATTGTACACACTACCCTTCAGGACGAGATTGATGTCGCGCCGGTGCCATAGGTGGCGAAGGTTAGCAAAAGCGTTTCGAGCTTTTGCTATACGGTTTTTGAACTCTTCTTCAATTCCGATGGCGTTGGTACAACTACCTAAGTGGTTGAACTTTTGAACGACTTCTAGCTGCTCCCCACCCAGGGTCAGTGCAGGAGACGGGCCCCGCCAATTTTGTAGGAAAGCTTTGCACTTGGAGGGAGAAAATCATAGCCCGAAACGGGTGACAGCCAGTGCTAATCTGTTCAGTGCCGCTTGGAACGTTTGTGATCTGTCACAGATGAGGGCAATGTTGTCAGCATACTACAAGTCAAGAAGTTGTTCTGCTGGGAAAGATCCACACCTTCTGTCCTGTAAACACGATTTCCATGACTTCGTCAATAGTGAAGTTGAAGTGGAAAGGTGACAGCGGGTATCCTTCCTTCACACCGCTGGAGAAATTAAAAGGCGGCGACATTTTGCCATTAACTCTGACTCTGCCTGAGATACGCGCGTATAATGCTCGGATAATATTTACATATTTCTCGGGCACACCTTTCCTGACTAGACAGTCCCAAAGGGCACATCTATCCGCCGAATCGAATGCACCTTTGATATCGAAGAGCAGGATAACGGTGGGCCGACAATATATGTGACGGTCATTTAACAGCTGACGAACAGTGAAGATGTAGTCGAAGCAGTCACGACGTTGACGAAACCCGGCTTGCACATCACGTATCTGGATTTCATGAGTGCCAGTCAATCAGTGAAGGATGACAGAGGCAAGCAATCTGGAGGCGATGGAGAGCAGATTGATTCCTCTATAGTTGCCCTATTCCGATCGTGAAACTCCCTTGCCAATTAGGACTATGGCGGCGCGGCTCCAGTCGGTTAGGGCAGTTTCCTGCTGCCACAGTTTCACTTGTAACTCGTGTAAATCATTCACAAGAGCAGGTCCCTCGAACTTGAAGAGGGTAAAAGATCATCATCATCATTATACATGTCAGCTAGAGGTGGTGAAACACCTCCGCTATTGTACCGCAATACATAAAGGAAAAATAAATACGACAGTTGCATGCCAGCTGAGCTACCAGCAACGGATAGGCATCGTTCCGGTAAGCTACCAGCCAGCTACTGGGCAAAAAGAAAAAAATATATTATGTTTTACCCTACGAAATGTGATCGTAGATGGAGGGGGGAGGTTAAAGGGATGGGGAGGGACAAAGAAACTCACAGCACAAACGCCACTGAGGTCGGCTCCTTTCCATGTCAGCAAGTGTATCCAGCCAAACGTGTTCACCGTCTTTCGGACCCCAACCAGGGAGCCGTGAAGCTCCAACCGAGGCCAGATCCGAAGTGAGGGACTTCATTCCCCTGGACCAAGTCATCGATTGACCACCTCTCCTCTTCTTCCACCCACTTCCCCGATGAGCAAACAATGCACGTCGAGGGAGTCGATGGGCTGGCATGCGCAACAAGTGGCCCAGCCATCGGAGCCTGGTGCGAAAAATAACGGTCCTGAGCGGTTCATTCCGTTTTTCTGGGCCGTAAACAAGGCGTCGAACACGCTCGTTACTCACGCGGTGTTCCCACCAGATGTGAGCCAAACTGCGAAGGCACCGATGGTCGAACGTAACTAGCCTCTTTATGTCCGCCGATCTTAGGGGCCAGGTTTTGCAACCGTACAGTAAGGTCGAACGTACCGCTGCATTATACACTCTACCCTTCAGGGCGAGAGTAATGTCGTGCCGCCGCCATAGGTGGTGAAGGTTAGCAAAAGCACTTCGAGCTTTCGCTATACGGTTCGTGATCTCGTCTTCGATCCCAAGGGCGCTGATACAACTTCCCAGGTAATTGAATTTCTGAACGACTTCTAGCTGATCCCCACCAAGGGTCAGCACAGGGGGGGGCGAACCCTGCCAATCCTGGAGGAACGCTTTGCATTTCGGTGGTGCAAAGCAAAGCCCGAAGCGACTGACAGCCAGTGCTAATCTGTCCAGCGCGGCTTTACACGTCTGGGAGCTGTCACAGATGAGGGCAATATCGTCCGCATATTCCAAGTCAAGAAGTCGTTCTCCTGGGAGTAGCTCCACGCCTTCCAAGTCATGTCCTGTAAATGCAATCTCCATGACTTCGTCAATAGCGAAGTTGAATAGGAAAGGTGACAGCGGGCATCCTTGTCTCACACCGCTGGAGATATTGAAGGGTGGCGACAGCTTGCCGTAAGCCCTCACTCTGCCCCTACTACGCGCATATAATTCTTGGATAATATTTACATATTTCTCGGGCGCACCTTTCCTGAGTAGACAATTGCAAAGGGCACATCGACCAACCGAGTCGCATGCACCTTTGATGTCGAGGAACATAACTACGGTGGGCCGCCAATATGTGTGGCGGTGCTCCAACAACTGACACAAGTTGAAGATGTGGTCGATGCAGCCACGACATCGACGAAACCCGGCTTGCTCCTCACGAATCTGGCTTTCACGAGCGCCAGTCAGTCTGTGAAGAATTATGGAGGCGAGTAATTTGGAAGGGATGGAGAACAGACTGATTCCTCTATGGTTGCCGCATTCCGAGCGCGAGCCGCCTTTGAAGATGGGAACAATAACGGAGCGGCTCCAGTCAGTTGGGACAATCTCCTGCTCCCACAGTTTCACTAGTAATTCATGTAAAGCATTAACAAGAGCAGAGCCTCCGAATTCGAAGAGAGCTGGAGGAAGATCATCTGGTCTCGCGGCTTTGTTCAACTTCAACAGTCCGATTTCACGTTCGACTTCTGAGCGAAAGGTTGGATCCAAAGGGACAGCCCACGGAGCAGGGCGATCAGTGACCGGCGAATCGAACAATTATAGCCGATTAAATTGCTTTTCAAAATGCTCAGCCCAACGCTGCAGACGTTTTGACAAATTGTGGATAGGCTGTCCACTCACGTCACATATAGTTTCATTCACACCAGTTCTCGTGCTGCCTGTTTTACTTATCAGACGGAATAACTCACGATGGTTACCAAGGGCAGCGGCTATTTCCATCTCTGACGCATGAAGAGACCATTAGGATTAACGGTCACTCTTCAAGCTAGCACGGAATGTTGCCCGGAGGTTTCTGCGAGTCTCATTGTGTTCGCTTCCAGCCGGAATATGCCGGTGAGCACCGATAAGTTCCAAAGACTTCGAGGAGACCCAGTGTTCATGTTGGCGATTAGACTTACCACATGAGGATTTATCTGCTGCTAGTATGGCCGTGTAAACATGCGATCAGTGACATTCAATTGTATCTGGTGAGCGGTTACTCAGCCTGCATGTCAGTGTACTTCGATACGCAATCAGAACGGCTGGTTTGGTCAGTTGGCTGGTGTCAATGCGCTCACAGCGTCTTCGTGGGCGTCTGCCAAAACGCATTCGCAGGTCAGCACATACAAGTGCATGGTCGGTGTCCACACATATGCTCCAAATCGAGCCACGGTTTTGTACGCAGCCTCTCCAGCGATAATTGATCACGATGTGATCGATTTGCGTCCACGGCTGGTCCGAGGCTGGTGGGCACCATGTCATCTTCCGACGGTTGCTGTGTCAGAAGTTAGTGCTCG